GACACGGGGAGACAGTGCCGAAGCAGAGCTCCGCACCCCCGGGGCTGTCCCCTACAGCTGCGGGAAACGGCCGAGCCGGGAGAGGAGATTCCCGACACGGAACTAGCCTTGAACCGCTGACTATGGCAGGGAAAGCATTTGTCTTCACGGACCTAAAATCGCCCTTTGCCCTAGAGAACTACCACGAAGGACTAAATTCTCCTGCCCTCATTCTCCCTTTGGGCTCCCTTAACCCTATGGAGAGAGACCACGCGTGGGGGGCACATGCTACCACAGAAGCTGCGCACCTCCACATTAAACATTTACATTCTCGCCTCTGCTAATCGATTGCTTTGACCTCGCCTACTCTAAGACCCGTGCCTGCTTATAGAAAAACAAGGTAAACAGCCCTAAAATGCTTTAGCGTAATTATATTGCAGGCATCCGGCCACTGTGATAAAGCCTCTTTGCAGACATTTCAAATGGGTGACAAGAGATGCTTCTGTTTCCAAACAGGCAGAGGTATTCAGACACTGCAACGCCAGTGACTGTGCACGGGCATCTGGAGTCACCAGCAATGTTTCTGTTTTACACCAGTGAAAAAGAAGCAGCTGAATACTGGTCCTGTTGGACAACGAGCTCTCAAAGGTGGCCTGGGCCAACTGATGGGTTTGTAGCCAAGGCACAGACCTGCAGCACACAAGGTGCTATTTCTGGATTTCCCACACAGTTCCTTCTGACCTTGGCCAATCTGCCGGCTTCAATTCTTTGCGCTTTCCCTTCCGTTCTGTTACATGAGGTACAATCAAACCTTCCTTCAGAAGAGGACAGGGAAGTTCCCTTCTTCTAAAGTGCTTTGAAATCACATGGAAACCATTGAACACATAAAAAGTATTTCTATGCCAGGAAGCTGCATGTTGTATTCAGTGTTTGATGAATCACTTTTCGGGGCAGTGCTGGCTGGAGCAGCGGTCCTTCTCTTCCACTCCCTGATGTGCCCCTCCCGGAAGTGCTCCCTGTCAGGCTGCTACAGGTACTTATGGAACAAGCAGGCTCCAGCTGTACTGATCCAACCCAAATTTTGCCCTTTTCTCACCAGGTCACGCACACTTTAACCCTTTACCACCAGGCTGGCTGCTGCTTCCAGTCCACAATGGAGCCACAAAAATAAACAGATGTACCAGCGTGACAGAGAAGTAATGAGGAAAACAGGTCAATTAAGCAGCACTACCACTGAAACTGAAACCATAAGCCTTAGCACTTGTGGGCGATTCATGCTTTAACAATATGATTTAACACTACAGTAAATTTAGTTTAATGATGTCAGATTAAAAAAAAATAAAAATTGCAGCCAGGTTTTAAAAAAAACAAAAAAAGGCAAAAAAACTCTGTGTCAGTCCTGACCAACACCACCAGCTAAGATGTCTGCTCTGTGGCGTTATGCTCACTGTCTGCACAGACACTCAGCTACTGCATTCCTTATGCTCTCCAGTTACGCTCTGGGAAGGCAAGGCTAACTGGAGTAAGCAAGAATTTTTAATAAGGGCTACTGAATCAGGCCGCCTGTTTGTAATAGCTCTTCATATGAAATGTTATGGGACAAATTCCTTTCAGTCAGAAACTGCAGAGTCGCACATGCATCCAGAGGCAGTCTTTCCAAAATAGTTTGCAGAGGGCTGTCAACCTGTACAATTAATTTCTTTTAGCTCATTTCACGAGACTAACTAACACTTCCATGCCATCTTGCACAGAAAGCACCTCCTCCTGTACATACTGATCCAAGAACGGCAGGCTGGGCAGTAATCTCTGTGGAAACAAATCTCAGACCTTCCCAGCTCTCTCTCCTGTTATGTAACAAGATAAATTTGCACTTCTTATTACACCCAGCCAAGTTCCAGCAAACAATTTGAGTTTCTAGTCCACAGAAGGACAATGGGGAATCTGGGAGAAATGCAAAGCCCTTCATATTAATGGTAAAGATCAAAGTCTTTTCCACGACTGACTTCTAAGCATAATTTTTTCTCTTTCATCTCTAGCTTTCTCCAGGATGAGGGAAGATTTATGCCTGGCAGTTTCACAGAGTTAAGTTTAATAGGATGCCAGGTGGCAGCTGTCAAAGGCAGACTCAATTGCTCTTTCTGCTGTTTGGGAATGGGCTCGCTCTTCTTGCTACACTTTTAGAGGTTAAACCTGACATTACTTCCTAGGACTTGATTTTAAAGTAACTACCCAAACTATCCGTAAGCTAATGGCTCCGCAATGCACCCTCACATAGTTTACATGTAAAAGCCTCTAGTTATATACACATACATGTACCACAACACATCCACAAACACTTCACAGGAGAATACATACGCTATTTTTAGGAACGAGAGACATTAAGCATCCTCCCTAAACTTGGCATGAACCAGTTTCAGCTGTGAGCCAGTACCTTTCTGCTGTTGACTTTATAGAGGTTCCAGAATGAACAATGTCTGCTTTTTCTCTCTCCTGTCTGTCAACTGTTTGCTCTTGTTTGTTTGTTCTACTTTTTCACCTGTGGAAAAATTCAAAGTGTATGGAGAGTTTTCTTAAAGAAGAAAAATAGGAGGAAGCTAACATATAGCACAGCATGCTGAGCAAAGGGAGGCAACCACAGCTGTATAGCTCTGGAAGGACTCTGCAAGAAGTCATC